TGATTTACATGTTTCACCAATTTTGTATTTACATATAGGGTAGCACTATGGCACTATAGCACTATACTAATATTCCCTTATTTTAAATACGCCCAACCAAAAAAATTAATAAACTATATATAGTACGGGATACGTAGCAAAAAAATATTCTATAAAGCGCTGCTTACATAATCAATTTTGATTGGCTAATTTTGGATTGATTCTGATTGTTAATTAAATATATCTTTTTTTAAATTAAACGCCAATTTTTTTAAACCATTACGTACGTACGTATAAAACTTTAACTCTTTTAAAACAAAATAATAAAAAATCCTCTGACAGAAATATAGTTTAGCTAAAAAATCTATCAATTTGTCAGAGGGCTTTTTTTGATTTAGGTTACCTTAAAAAAAAGTATAGTTTTTACTATATAGTAAATAATGGATGCATTTTACTGTCCGGTACTGTATATATATACTGTATATACATACGTACGTTGCAGTACTGTATACGTATACTGCGAGCATGTATAATTTACTGGATTTATTATATACGTATTATACATTACTGTTACGTATTTATCGCACAAATTTTAAATATTTTTATGGCTTAAAGTTTCTTACTATTACTATATATGTGCAAACGAGGTAACAACCAGATGTTTAAGGATTTAATTAAAATAGTTTAATATACAGTTTTCAATACCTTAACGTTATGCCTCGAAAAATACATATGTCGTTCTTAATCATTTGTATAAATATTATTTGCCAAGTTATTATACCGATACTTATAGCCCTAAGCACAATAAGAAGGCATGCCTCAGCCCCACCCGTGGTGACATAAAATTCAATGTTTGATATATACATATTCATATCTAAAATGCATCAAGAAAAGAATTTCGATATCGCTTTGCACCAAAATAGTCCTTCGCTACACTCCGGATAGTTAAAAAAAAAGTGTTATCGTGTACTGATGAATCAATCTGCATCATAAATTTAAAATCGATATTATTTTTCTTTATTGTTCACTATGATCGATAAGGCAGAAAAATAAAAATGTCGCCATTTCATCGTGATCACCTTAGAAACAATTACAAAGTCTGTATATAAAACGATGTAATAACTTAATTTAATCAAAATAAAACCTAAAATGTCATCTATCACATTGATGATGTTATTTTCGAAACTGATACGTAGTCACCTGCAAAAGTAGCGCCCGATTTTCATTATGTAATAATAATATATATAAAAATATTGAAAAATCGGGCGTTGCTTTTGCAGGTCATTGTACGTGCTTTAGTGTTACATGTAACTCTTTTCTATTTAAAATTATTTATTGGCTTAGCGATTTAAACGAAGCATCAAATACTGGGCACTTTTACGCAAACTCATTAATTTGAATTGGGAATTGGACCTATAAGTTCCAATTGGAATTTAATAAGTTCGAATATTCTAGCTATGGCAGGGGATGGATCCAAATTTGCCCAAATAAATCCAAATTATCAAATGGAATGTTGTAGATTGTTCTGTAAAAATATCGCAATCTGGTTTTGCAAAGGAGTACAAGGAATAACGTGATATTGATCTTTGATTTCAGCCAATGAAATCGGAGTTTTATATGTCAGAATTAGGTAGTCGCAGAAAACTTTTTTTACCGGTTTTTTTTTTTTGTGCAATACATTACTACTATACTGGTTCTATTGGCTAATTTGCCAGTACATTACCAGTCTAAACCAGTCCGAACCTCACATGATGGATTATCGTAAAAATTTACTGATAATCATTAACGTTAACGCTGACTTTTGTTACAAAGGGATGTATTTACGTTTTACGTTATGGTCTTTACCGCAGCAACGAATATCTATAACGATAAGAACTATATCACAGGTTACAAGGAAACCAATAAATAGGTATAATCGTATATTCTTTTACTCAGCTTATATATCTTTATAGATCATATCCTTGATAATTAAGTTTTTTGTCAGGTAGAATAGAGCCTGCTAGATCTGTTAGGGGAACGCACGATCGTTTTGGTGTTGAAAATGAAAAATTTACTCATATACAGAGGATCGGAACTTCGATTGCAGAACTACACTGTTTTGAACAGGTATATGATCGAAAATCTTGGAATTTTATTATAATGGGTTAAATAGTAACATAAAAAAAATAGATATCTACGCCAATATTGGAATTTTCACAAGTATTTGAAAGAACTTTAGGTAGTGAGTCAGATATTGTTGGAAAAGAGTTGTACAGTTTTATCGATCATGATGATAAATTGACATTGAGACCTGAGGGAACAGCAGGTTGGTCTAATTCTTCAAAAGAATTCTAAACCCTCTGAAAATAACAAGTTTTTTTTTTACTTTATAGGTATTGTCAGAGCATTAATTAGCAATAATATGGATCGTGATCTGCCCAAAAGGTACTATTACTATGGGCCTATGTTTCGTCGTGAACGACCTCAAAAAGGAAGGCTAAGGCAGGTGAACGTTTAATGATTTTATTTTATTGGCTATTCTTAGGCAAAAATTTGTCCAACAATCAACTGATCATTGCCATCTTATACCATCTTATATGCCTACAGTTTGAACAATTTGGCGTTGAAATGTTTGGTCATGAAAATCCAACCTCTGATATTGAAATAATTGAAATGGCATGGGCATTTTTAAATAAAATAGATACTGATACGTCATTTGAGGTAATGTGTTTTTTTATTAATTTACGATTTTTAAATTCGTTAAATAATTCAACATGATAATATTTCACATAGCTAGAAATTAATTCATTGGCCGATGTGGAATCTCGTGCGCATTATCGTGAAGTTGTTAAAGATTACCTGAGCCAGAATGCATCACGTCTTTCCTCGGATAGCGTGAAAAGGTGGTTTTTTATATATATATATATATATATAAAAGTTAGCATTCATATTTTCAAATTCAAATTTACCAAATACAGTTTCTCATCTAAAAAGAATAGCGACAAATCCTTTGCGTGTCTTAGATTCAAAAAATCCGGAAGATATACCAATCATTCAAAATTGTCCATCAATCACAGAATTTTATAATACGAAATCTGCTGAAAGGTTTAATGCTGTATGTCAGGGACTTCAAAAGTTAGGAATACCTTACAAAATTAATCCACGACTAGTTAGAGGACTGGATTATTATGAAGACACTGTATTTGAATTCAAATGTACGGATTCTAGACTCGGTGCTTCACAAGGAACTGTACTTGCTGGTGGGAGATATGATAATCTTGTTCAATTGATGGGTGGAAAAGAAAAAGTTCCAGGAATAGGGTATGATATTTGATTCTTATGTGTTTTTTGTTTTACTTTATCTTTTAACCAATTTTGTTTATTGTAAGTAGATGGGCTGCAGGAGTAAACAGGCTAGCCGCAATATTGCGAGATGATGATATTCTACGGGAAAGGCCAATTGCGGTTGTCATCATTCAAGATCGAGATAAGGTTATCTTATCAACGGAAAATTGTAGTACAAATAATAACATGATGCTTTATTGCTATGGCCTTAAAATTTCTAGAGTGTTACGCTCACATAATATTAAAACATTTTTTTATCATATTCCTAGTGCAAATCATCTATCACTGAAAACTATATTGGCAAACGTTGTAAAAACAAATGCTTCACATGCAATATTAGTAGGAGAAAAGGAAATTATGAATGATAAAGTGATATTAAAGGATTTAGATTTAAAAGTTCAAAATGAATATAAATTAGAAGATATCGTACAACCAATTTTAGAATCCAAAAAAAAAATTAAATAGCTAAACTTGTGAATAAATTTTCTAAGGCAAAATTCTAAAAATCGTGGTTAGTATAATGCGTCCGATTATAAATACAAAGACAATATGTTCGTAAAAAAACATTACCGATAAATCATTATATTTCGTATCTACATATTTTCAATCCAATCCACTTCAATAATCTATTAGTTAAAATTTCAAATTCGTATGAAGCAAAAAGTTGTTTTTTTTTTAAAAAAAAAAAAAAGGTTTATTCAGATCAAAACAATGCATAAACTTCCAAAGAAACATACAATACAAAGAGAAAAAGAAACTAAAAATAAAAAAAAAAAAAAGAGCATAATTGCATTGCCATAATAAGCAGAAGATAACTTCTGTTTTAAAGCCACAATCCCAGAAATTATTAAAAAGACCTAGTGTATTTGAATATTAACTATTTGAGTTGTGTATATAAGAATAATTGTCAATCTAATTTATCTAATTATTGAAGAGAATCAGCATATATGCACGAAGTTTGTAAGAAACTAACAATTATAACTATTCACATTAGGTCATGGGTAAGGGATCATCAACGGATCATAATTATCTTATGATTGCAAAAGTCTTGAAAGCTTTTTCATGAAAGCATTTAAGAAAACATAATCATATTTCTTCGTCAAATAACGTCAGTAAGAAGCTGCTTTTCCAGAATATATTTCCCCTCTTTATAGCGTTGACTTTGTTCATATGCTCTTTCCTGGAAATTTCACGTAAAAATTATTATTCAATTTTCTATTTAAAATTATCAAAATATTATGATCAACTGATCAAATTACTTACATATTTCCACCCTAATAC